AGACATCCCATCCCACACCCCATTTCCCCCCCCCCCCCCCCAATCACAACAGCGAATCCACCATGTACGGGGCCTCCACCCAGAGAGCCCCGCCTTCCGCATCGCCATCGTCCCACTCCCGGTCCACCAAGTCAACGTTAATCCCCCCCATAGAAGACGCCGCTCGAAGCAGGATGACACGGGCTTGCGCACGTTGCAACGCCACCCCGATGAGCGCCTTCAGTGACCCTAGAAGATAAGCCGAAAACACAGTGTCGTCCTCCCGACAAGCCCCCCGCGACACAGCTAGCCCCACGTGCGCATCTCCCTGCTGACGAAGCCACCTCCGAAAGCGACCGCCGAGACACCCCCACGTCTCCACTATCAGAGGAGTGAACTGCACGCCCCGGTTGCGTGCAAGCAGAGGCGCGTAATCGCTCGTTTTACGACGCTCCCATTCTCTTGCCGCCACGCCTATTTGACGCCCGCACTGTCCTAGCAAAGATGGAGACAGCGATAGCGGGTCCGCGACGCTGATCTCCAGGGCGTGAGCCTCTCCAGCCATTGGTCGTCGCACCGCCACATCAACCCGCTTCCCCTGCAGCACCACACTATCCTCCATTGTCACCACCCCCCCAGACGCCTTAGAGATCTTCGCCACCGCAAACTTCACCTCATCATGTACCCGAGATGGACCATGCTGGTGCTTGCATCTCAGGGCATGATGCGGGTCTGCTGAGTCAACATATGCTGTGCCACAAACACACCTCCCCGCCACCTGCAGCTGCTGAATTGGGAGCCCGAGCCGTATAGCAGCAGCAATGCCCCACTCCGCCGCAGTGAATGTGAGATCTGAGTGAGCCGGAACCGCCGAAACCCATGCACCAGCCCCCGGGCCCTGAAGGGATGTGAAACGGGCCAGGGTGGCATCGTCACGAGCCGAGCGACGCAGTGTCTGGAGCTCCTCTACCGCCAACAACCGCTGCCGCGCCTGGAAAAGCCGAAGAGGAGGGGCCGCTACGCACAGAGGTAAGCCCGGCATCTCCTGGCGTATAGTCGCAGGCAGCTGCTCAAGAGCCTTGGCAAACCACGGGTCAAGAAACTCCGCCCCTGCCGAAGTGGTGAGGTACTCTGCAAACATCGCCTCATCGCCCGCCACCCCCAACTGTGCAATATCACGCGCGGCCTGTGCCCACCCACAAACATAGGACAGCGGACTCAAAGAGGCTGCTGCCCGGATCCCAAACCCTCCGAGTCGCACAGGGAGATGCAGCTGCATGCGCGCGCGCCTAGACCGGTCGGGGTCATGCTCCCAAGTGCCAGGTGGGAAAAGCTGCTCAAAGCAATCCTCCAGACAGCTATCCCAATCCCTGAAGGCCTCCACCACCTCCGGACGCGGCGGCATAGTCTGGGCCAGGTACATCGGCCGTGCTGAAACTGCAATGGCGAGGAGATGTGAAGCCATCTGGGGGTGGTCGAGCAGGGGGAGCCATGGCAATGGCGCCTGCAACTGTCTAAGCCGCTCCCGTAACCGGGTCACCTCCCAACCCTCCTCCCCAATAGGCACACCCACCACAGTGAGACCCTCCTCCACCCGCTGCATCCCCAATGGCAATGCCAGCTCCACATCCCCGCCCTCGCGCTCCCAAAACCGGCACTTGTGCGCCTGCACCTCCAGCCCCACCCATTCCAACCGCTCCCGCAGCACCCCAAACGCCTCTAGAATCCTAGCCGCCGGTCCCAGGATATAGGTATCGTCTGCGTAGCTCAGGAAAAGTAGGTCCCTGAACTCTCTAGTCACCGACTCCATCACCTGCTGCTGCGTGAACGCGAAAAGAAAAGGGCCGAGCGGGTCCCCCTGCCGCGATCCTCGTGCCGACTCAAGGCTCTGTACAAAAGGGCCCGCTCGGAGGTACAGATCGCTAGGTGTCCCGTAGAAAACACGTAAGAATGGGATCAACCCTGAGAAAGGCGACTCCCGCAGCCCCTCAAACATCGCATGACGGTGAAACGAATTGAAAGCGTTCGCGACATCTATCTGCAGCGCACACCAGTCGGGGTGAGTAGCCAGCGCTGACCGGAAAGAATGGGTAAGAATCTCTACCCCGGCCCTGGTGCCCGCTCCCAGCTGGTTGCACGGCAGAAAGTAGGAAGCCATCGCAGGGCGGAGCGAGATGCAGAGAGCTCGAGCAAGGATACGCGGAAGCACTTCCCCAATCGCGACCGGCCGGACGTCGCCGTTAGGCTTGGAAAGCCCAACTAGGTTGGATGCGGCGAGCCAGGGCCGAGCCCGCTCGGGGACCTGTCCCGCCACCCATTGGTTGAACACCTCCAACAGGTGGGAAAGGCAGGAAGGTTCAGTGAGGAAGGTGTCGCGCAGATGCTCCGTGACCCACCCCGATGGCCCTGCTGCTGAAGCGCGAGCGGCTGTATGGATAGTTCTGGCCAGGATGTCGGCCGTGAGTGGAGGCCGCTGAGGAGCATCGACGGTGAAATCACGGACCCACTGTGGTACCTCGCTAGTGCTAGCAGGGTGCTTCTCTCGCAGCGACTGCACCATGGCCTCAGACGGCCGGGCCAACTCCCCTGCCGTAAGGCAAGCCAATCCGCGGCTCCACTCTCCCACTTTACACCGAGATCGGCACCGTGACAGGCGGATGGCATCCGGGTCCTGGTCAGAGCAAGTGTAGGCAAGTGGGCGTACTGCTGGCCGCGCCGCCACCATGGCGGAGTCGAACAGCTCCCGCCACCTCCCCTCCCAAAACGCCCCCAACCGCTCTATGATCAGCGCCTTCTGTCCTATGCCTGGCTTGGGAGGCACGGCTAGGATGAGGCGCGGAAAAGCCAAGAGTAGTAGGGTAGCGGCTTCATCCCCCGGCCGGCTCTTCAAACGCTTTAAGACGCAACAGAGCGCGTCTAAGACCCCCGACCGAGCCCGCTGTGGGATCCGGCGCACTGTCCTCCCTCCAACCGCCTCCACACTGAAAAATGCTTCCCATTCCCAAGACGTAACCCCGGCCCACGCCTCGTCCCCAAATTCCCGCGGCGTCGGTCGCTCCTGCGTGTCGGTCTCCACCAGTGACAGGGTCGAGCCAAGTGCCTGCGCGCGCCTCTCCGCCTCAGCCGCCCGGCATACCCTCATGTGTTTCGCAGCAGCCCCTCGCGTAGCGAACGTGTGAAAACACGTGTCACACGGAAAACGAGGGCATGGGGAAGGCTGCATGGGAGGTTCTTTGTCCGCCTCTGACTCCTCCGCAGTCGCCATGGGGGTATCAAACTCCAAAAGTCGGCACCACTCCTCCAACTGCTGCTCCCGGTCGTCCAATGACTGCCCCCCTGGCTGCTGCTCTATCTGGGGTGCTCCGGTCACCCCCGGCTGCCCCCCTGGCTGTAGCACTCCCAGGGGTGCTCCGGTCGCCCCCGGCTGCCCCCCTGGCTGTAGCACTCCCTGGGGTTCTCCAGTCACCCCCGTCTGCCCCCCTGTCTGTAGCACTCCCACGGGTGCTCCGGTCACCCCCGGCTGCCCCCCTGGCTGCTGCTCTCTCTGGGGTGCTCCAATCGCCCCCAGCTGCTCCCCTGGCTGTAGCGCTCCCTGGGGTGCTCCTGTCACCCCCGACTGCCCCCCTGGCTGTAGCACTCCCAGGGGTGCTCCGGTCACCCCCGGCTGCCCCCCTGGCTGTAGCACTCCTTGGGGTGCTCCGGTCACCCCCGGCTGCCCCCCTGCCTGTAGCACTCCCAGGGGTGCTCCGGTCACCCCCAGCTGCTCCCCTGGCTGTAGCACTCCCAGGGGTGCTCCGGTCACCCCCGGCTGCCCCCCTGGCTGTAACACTCCCTGGGGTGCTCCGGTCACCCCCGGCTGCCCCCCTGGCTGTAGCACTCCGTGGGGTGCTTTGGTCACCCCCGGCTGCCCCCCTGGCTGCTGCTCTCCCTCGGGTGCTCCGGTCACTCCCGGCCGCCCCCCAGGCTGCTGTGTTCTCTGGGGTGCTCCGGTCGCTCCCGGCTGCCCCCCAGGCTGCTGTGTTCTCTGGGGTGCTCCGATCACCCCCGGCTGCCCCCCTGGCTGTAGCATTCCCAGGGGTGCTCCTGTCACCCCCAGCTGCTCCCCTAGCTGTAGCGCTCCCTGGGGTGCTCCGGTCACCCCCGGCTGCCCCCCTGGCTGTAGCACTCCCAGGGGTGCTCCGGTCACCCCCGGCTGCCCCCCTGGCTGTTGCACTCCCAGGGGTGCTCCAGTCACCCCCGGCTGCCCCCCTGGCTGCTGCTCTCTCTGGGGTGCTCCAATCGCCCCCAGCTGCTCCCTTGGCTGTAGCGCTCCCTGGTGTGCTCCTGTCACCCCCGGCTGCCCCCATGGCTGTAGCACTCCCAGGGGTGCTCCGATCACCCCCGGCTGCCCCCCTGGCTGTAGCACTCCCAGGGGTGCTCCGGTCACCCCCGGCTGCCCCCCTGGCTGTAGCACTCCCAGGGGTGCTCCAGTCACCCCCGGCTGCCCCCCTGGCCGTAGCACTCCCCGGGGTGCTCCGGTCACCCCCGGCCGCCCCCCTGGCTGTAGCACTCCACATGAGACCCTGGTTTTAATAAAAAGCGAAAAGGCTTGCATGAGTTCATTTTGAAACAGCAGGTCCCACCACCTAGTGATTCTTTGAGCAAGCTACTGGTAAAAGAGTTTTGTTTGCTAGTTTGTTTGTTTGTAAAAGCATACCTAAAGTATAATTATAATCAGCTCTGATGACAGCTACAACGGGGAATAGGATCTGTCTTGGCAAACAAACCCCAAATTCTCCGCCGTTGCTTCCCCCTCCCCTGCACCTCCACCCCCATCAAGTTTGTCGGGGCAGTCCCGCCCGCTGCTCCCCGCTGAATGCCGATCGCCTGCCTGCTGCTTCCACCACGCATGTGCCACGTGGCGGCAGTTCGCGCCGGCGGATTCCGTCTTCCCTCTTTCTTGTCTGCGGCCGAACCGTGCCGAAAACCGCAAGCCCATTACACACCCCTGACACGCGGGCAACTTCGAACACTGCACGTTAATCGTTTAACGGGTACTTTTTTAAGGAAACGTCACCCGCTCGTTCTCTCCCCTCCGCCAGCCGGTCTGAAACCGCCGCGCGGGACGCGGGCGCGCGGAATGAGCTACGCTGGGGAGGGCGAGGGGGAAGGGGACGGCGCGGGGTCCGGCGCGGCGGGGCGGACGGCGTTCCGCGTGGCGGAGAAGCGGTTCAAGCTGGTGAAGGAGGACACGGGGCAGCGCCGCCGACGGCGCGGGCAGCAGCGCGGGTAGGAGCGCGAGGATCCAAGCGCTGCTGCGCGGTGCTCCCGTTCCCGCTCATCCCCGCCTTCCCTTGCGCGCATGCACCGTCTGACCTCCCCATCCCATCCCACCCTCCCCACCGTACCCAACCCTACCACCCCGTTCTCCAACCCGCCGCCCGTGTCCTCCGCACGGCAGGCAGGGCTCGGACGCGGCGGCGGGCGAGGGCGGCAGCGCAGAGGGCGCGCTGGCGGGCGCGGTGGACTTCCGCGCGCTGGAGCAGCGCTTCCTGGCCACGGGGCACCTAGCTGACACCGCTGCCCCTGCTGCTACAGCCGCGGCGGGTGCTTCTGGTGGTGCTGGTTCTGCTACAGCCGGTGGTGATGGGGCGGCATGTGTGGCGGCGGTGGCTGTGAGCAGCATCGTGCGAGAGGAGGGCGCGGCGGGGCTACCGTGCCCCGTGTACACTGTGCAGGGCAGGCCCGGTCAGTTCTCTGCTCTGCTCTCTGTCTTGCTCTCCCGTGCCTGCAGCACTCGTGAACACAAGGGCTACCGTGCCCCGTGTACACTGTGCAGTGCACGGTAGGCCTGGTGAGTGCCATGTGTACACCGTGCACGGCAGGCCTGGTGAGTGCCATGTGTACACCGTGCACGGCAGGCCTGGTGAGTGCCATGTGTACACCGTGCACGGCAGGCCCGGTCAGTTCTTTGCTCTGCTGTGACCTCTCTGTCTTGCTCTCCCGTGCCTGCAGCACTCGTGACATGCAAGGGCTTTGAGTTGCGGCTTTGTCATGGGGTGCCCTTGGCGGAAGGAATGGCAACCTGACTGACAAAGCGGTCTCGAAATAGCTGCCTGTTTGCTTGTCTGTCTGTCTCTGTGGCTCTCCGCCATTCCGCCCGTCCGCCCCCGCATCTGTCCGTCCGTCCGCCTGGCATCCATCCATCCGTCTGTCCGTTTCTCTTTTCACCTGCTTGCCTGCTCCCTATACCTATCGCCTGCTCCCTATACCTATCGCCTGCTCCCTATACCTATCGCCTGCTCCCTATACCTATCGCCTGCTCCCTATACCTATCGCCTGCTCCCTATACCTATCGCCTGCTCCCTATACCTATCGCCTGCTCCCTATACCTATCGCCTGCTCTCTTCCTCCCAAATCCCCGTTGCCTCCCCCATGCAAGCTTACAGCCTCCTTCCCTCCTCTTCCTCTGCTCTTCGCCCTTGTCCTCTCCTTAATTCTCTTCACCACTCTTCTCCCCGCCATCCCCTCCACTTCCCGTCCATGCCCCCTCCATACCCACACCACACCACACCGCACCACACCGCACACCAGGGTTCTTCTTCCTACCTGGAGCACTGACGGTGCAGCAGCAGGCGCAGCTGATTCAGGAGGCAGTGCAGGGGAGCGTAGAGCCGCCCAACCGCACCAACCACACCGCTGCCTTGGGTGCCATCCACGGCCTCTGGCCCGCCTTCGCCCTCTCCTGTGCTGCTGCCTCTGATCAAGGCAGCACGGAGCATGGTGGTGGTGATGATGGCGGTGGTGGTGGTGGTGGTGGCAGCAGCAGCAGGAGGCGTGTCAGTGCTGTGTTGCGGCCGTGTGTGGGAGGAGGAGAGGCAGAGGGGGTTCAGTGTGCGGGCAAGAGGGGCATGGGTGGGGAGGCGAGCGAATGGGGTGGGGAGAATGGGTGGCGGGGTATTGCAGGTGGCACATGCTGCTTTGAGCTTCAGGAGCAAGGGGAGGAGGAGGAGAGGGGGAAAGGCAGAGGGGAGAAGGGGAGAGGGAAAGGAGGGAGCGGAGAGGCCAGGGATAGAGCGAGCGAGGTAATGGAGGGGGAGAGGGGTGAGGGCGCAGGTGCAGTGATCAAGAGTGGGGAGGAGGGTGAGAGGAATGGAGGCGAGGGGAGGTGTGTGGGAGGGGAGGCGGTGGGTGGGGGGCGTGAAAGGGGGGTGAACGCGGAGTGGTTGGTAGGCAAGCTGCGGTGGGCCACACTTGGCGTGCAGTTCGACTGGAGCACGGTACGATGCGCTTATTCTTGCATTCATTCATTCATTCATTCATTCATTCATTCATTCATTCATTCATTCATTCATTCATTCATTCACTCACTCACTCACTCACTCACTCACTCACTCACTCACTCTTGCACCACGCACCACACATGCTCTAGTCTCTCGTCACTGCTCTTGCCGGCGCTTCCTGTTTTGTTATGCATGACTCCATGTGTCACTCCATGCACGACTCCATGTGTCACTCCATGCACGACTCCATGTGTCACTCCATGCACGACTCCATGTGTCACTCCATGCATGACTCCATGTGTCACTCCATGCATGACTCCATGTGTCACTCCATGCATGACTCCATGTGTCACTCCATGCATGACCCTTTCATAGCCTCGTTGCTTCGTTGCCTCAATCCTCGTGCCTGCCTACAGCTTACAGCTATATGCACTGGAAGTATCACCGCACTGCACACCTTGCACATGCCCCTCCTCTCTCTCACTCCTAGTGGCATTTCTGCATGGCGTGCCTATTCTCTCCTCTCTCCTTGCGTCATCTCCCCTCTCCCTCCTCCTTCCTTATACCATAACCATCCTCTGCTTGCTTACCATAAACCATTCTCCACCATTCCTCACCCCCGTCCCTCGCACCGTCTCCCTTCCACAGCGCGCCTATGACCCCTCGCTGCCCTTCCGCCCCTTCCCAACCTTTCTCGCGCACCTCGCCTCACGCCTGGCGGCACCTGCCATGCCCTCTGCGCATGCCACCTTCTCCCCTGAAGCCGCCATCGTCAACTTCTACCATCCAGGTCTGCCTCCCTCTTCCCCCTGCCTCTGTGCCGCCCTTGCTTGCCCAGAGTTAGGACTGTGGGTGGAAATACATATGGGGGTGCGGGTGGGTGGGAGTGTGAGTGGGAATGCCGAATGACGATAAACGATTCTTCACATGGATAGCACGAGTGGTGCTGGTGTGGTAGTGGTGCTGGTGTGGTAGTGGTGCTGGTGTGGTAGTGGTGCTGGTGTGGTAGTGGTGCTGGTGTGGTAGTGGTGCTGGTGTGGTAGTGGTGCTGGTGTGGTAGTGGTGCTGGTGTGGTAGTGGTGCTGGTGTGGTAGTGGTGCTGGTGTGGTAGTGGTGCTGGTGTGGTAGTGGTGCTGGTGTGGTAGTGGTGCTGGTGTGGTAGTGGTGCTGGTGTGGTAGTGGTGCTGGTGTGGTAGTGGTGCTTGGTGTGGTAGTGGTGCTGGTGTGGTAGTGGTGCTGGTGTGGTAGTGGTGCTGGTGTGGTAGTGGTGCTGGTGTGGTAGTGGTGCTGGTGTGGTAGTGGTGCTGGTGTGGTAGTGGTGCTGGTGTGGTAGTGGTGCTGGTGTGGTAGTGGTGCTGGTGTGGTAGTGGTGCTGGTGTGGTAGTGGTGCTGGTGTGGTAGTGGTGCTGGTGTGGTAGTGGTGCTGGTGTGGTAGTGGTGCTGGTGTGGTAGTGGTGCTGGTGTGGTAGTGGTGCTGGTGTGGTAGTGGTGCTGGTGTGGTAGTGGTGCTGGTGTGGTAGTGGTGCTGGTGTGGTAGTGGTGCTGGTGTGGTAGTGGTGCTGGTGTGGTAGTGGTGCTGGTGTGGTAGTGGTGCTGGTGTGGTAGTGGTGCTGGTGTGGTAGTGGTGCTGGTGTGGTAGTGGGTGCTGGTGTGGTAGTGGTGCTGGTGTGGTAGTGGTGCTGGTGTGGTAGTGGTGCTGGTGTGGTAGTGGTGCTGGTGTGGTAGTGGTGCTGGTGTGGTAGTGGTGCTGGTGTGGTAGTGGTGCTGGTGTGGTAGTGGTGCTGGGTGTGGTAGTGGTGCTGGTGTGGTAGTGGTGCTGGTGTGGTAGTGGTGCTGGTGTGGTAGTGGTGCTGGTGTGGTAGTGGTGCTGGTGTGGTAGTGGTGCTGGTGTGGTAGTGGTGCTGGTGTGGTAGTGGTGCTGGTGTGGTAGTGGTGCTGGTGTGGTAGTGGTGCTGGTGTGGTAGTGGTGCTGGTGTGGTAGTGGTGCTGGTGTGGTAGTGGTGCTGGTGGTAGTGGTGCTGGTGTGGGTAGTGGTGCTGGTGTGGTAGTGGTGCTGGTGTGGTAGTGGTGCTGGTGTGGTAGTGGTGCTGGTGTGGTAGTGGTGCTGGTGTGGTAGTGGTGCTGGTGTGGTAGTGGTGCTGGTGTGGTAGTGGTGCTGGTGTGGTAGTGGTGCTGGTGTGGTAGTGGTGCTGGTGTGGTAGTGGTGCTGGTGTGGTAGTGGTGCTGGTGTGGTAGTGGTGCTGGTGTGGTAGTGGTGCTGGTGTGGTAGTGGTGCTGTGTGGTAGTGGAGTGGTGCTGGTGTGGTAGTGGTGCTGGTGTGGTAGTGGTGCTGTGTGGTAGTGGTGCTGGTGTGGTAGTGGTGCTGGTGTGGTAGTGGTGCTGGTGTGGTAGTGGTGCTGGTGTGGTAGTGGTGCTGGTGTGGTAGTGGTGCTGGTGTGGTAGTGGTGCTGGTGTGGTAGTGGTGCTGGTGTGGTAGTGGTGCTGGTGTGGTAGTGGTGCTGGTGTGGTAGTGGTGCTGGTGTGGTAGTGGTGCTGGTGTGGTAGTGGTGCTGGTGTGGTAGTGGTGCTGGTGTGGTAGTGGTGCTTGGTGTGGTAGTGGTGCTGGTGTGGTAGTGGTGCTGGTGTGGTAGTGGTGCTGGTGTGGTAGTGGTGCTGGTGTGGTAGTGGTGCTGGTGTGGTAGTGGTGCTGGTGTGGTAGTGGTGCTGGTGTGGTAGTGGTGCTGGTGTGGTAGTGGTGCTGGTGTGGTAGTGGTGCTGGTGTGGTAGTGGTGCTGGTGTGGTAGAGCTGGTGTGGTAGTGGTGCTGGTGTGGTAGTGGTGCTGGTGTGGTAGTGGTGCTGGTGTGGTAGTGGTGCTGGTGTGGTAGTGGTGCTGGTGTGGTAGTGGTGCTGGTGTGGTAGTGGTGCTGGTGTGGTAGTGGTGCTGGTGTGGTAGTGGTGCTGGTGTGGTAGTGGTGCTGGTGTGGTAGTGGTGCTGGTGTGGTAGTGGTGCTGGTGTGGTAGTGGTGCTGGTGTGGTAGTGGTGCTGGTGTGGTAGTGGTGCTGGTGTGGTAGTGGTGCTGGTGTGGTAGTGGTGCTGGTGTGGTAGTGGTGCTGGTGTGGTAGTGGTGCTGGTGTGGTAGTGGTGCTGGTGTGGTAGTGGTGCTGGTGTGGTAGTGGTGCTGGTGTGGTAGTGGTGCTGGTGTGGTAGTGGTGCTGGTGTGGTAGTGGTGCTGGTGTGGTAGTGGTGCTGGTGTGGTAGTGGTGCTGGTGTGGTAGTGGTGCTGGTGTGGTAGTGGTGCTGGTGTGGTAGTGGTGCTGGTGTGGTAGTGGTGCTGGTGTGGTAGTGGTGCTGGTGTGGTAGTGGTGCTGGTGTGGTAGTGGTGCTGGTGTGGTAGTGGTGCTGGTGTGGTAGTGGTGCTGGTGTGGTAGTGGTGCTGGTGTGGTAGTGGTGCTGGTGTGGTAGTGGTGCTGGTGTGGTAGTGGTGCTGGTGTGGTAGTGGTGCTGGTGTGGTAGTGGTGCTGGTGTGGTAGTGGTGCTGGTGTGGTAGTGGTGCTGGTGTGGTAGTGGTGCTGGTGTGGTAGTGGTGCTGGTGTGGTAGTGGTGCTGGTGTGGTAGTGGTGCTGGTGTGGTAGTGGTGCTGGTGTGGTAGTGGTGCTGGTGTGGTAGTGGTGCTGGTGTGGTAGTGGTGCTGGTGTGGTAGTGGTGCTGGTGTGGTAGTGGTGCTGGTGTGGTAGTGGTGCTGGTGTGGTAGTGGTGCTGGTGTGGTAGTGGTGCTGGTGTGGTAGTGGTGCTGGTGTGGTAGTGGTGCTGGTGTGGTAGTGGTGCTGGTGTGGTAAGTGGTGCTGGTGTGGTAGTGGTGCTGGTGTGGTAGTGGTGCTGGTGTGGTAGTGGTGCTGGTGTGGTAGTGGTGCTGGTGTGGTAGTGGTGCTGGTGTGGTAGTGGTGCTGGTGTGGTAGTGGTGCTGGTGTGGTAGTGGTGCTGGTGTGGTAGTGGTGCTGGTGTGGTAGTGGGTGCTGGTGTGGGTAGTGGTGCTGGTGTGGTAGTGGTGCTGGTGTGGTAGTGGTGGTGGCTGGTGTGGTAGTGGTGCTGGTGTGGTAGTGGTGCTGGTGTGGTAGTGGTGCTGGTGTGGTAGTGGTGCTGGTGTGGTAGTGGTGCTGGTGTGGTAGTGGTGCTGGTGTGGTAGTGGTGCTGGTGTGGTAGTGGTGCTGGTGTGGTAGTGGTGCTGGTGTGGTAGTGGTGCTGGTGTGGTAGTGGTGCTGGTGTGGTAGTGGTGCTGGTGTGGTAGTGGTGCTGGTGTGGTAGTGGTGCTGGTGTGGTAGTGGTGCTGGTGTGGTAGTGGTGCTGGTGTGGTAGTGGTGCTGGTGTGGTAGTGGTGCTGGTGTGGTAGTGGTGCTGGTGTGGTAGTGGTGCTGGTGTGGTAGTGGTGCTGGTGTGGTAGTGGTGCTGGTGTGGTAGTGGTGCTGGTGTGGTAGTGGTGCTGGTGTGGTAGTGGTGCTGGTGTGGTAGTGGTGCTGGTGTGGTAGTGGTGCTGGTGTGGTAGTGGTGCTGGTGTGGTAGTGGTGCTGGTGTGGTAGTGGTGCTGGTGTGGTAGTGGTTGCTGGTGTGGTAGTGGTGCTGGTGTGGTAGTGGTGCTGGTGTGGTAGTGGTGCTGGTGTGGTAGTGGTGCTGGTGTGGTAGTGGTGCTGGTGTGGTAGTGGTGCTGGTGTGGTAGTGGTGCTGGTGTGGTAGTGGTGCTGGTGTGGTAGTGGTGCTGGTGTGGTAGTGGTGCTGTGTGGTAGTGGTGCTGGTGTGGTAGTGGTGCTGGTGTGGTAGTGGTGCTGGTGTGGTAGTGGTGCTGGTGTGGTACTGGTGTGGTAGTGGTGCCTGGTGTGGTAGTGGTGCTGGTGTGTAAGTGTGGTAGTGTGCTGTGTGGTAGTTGTGCTGGTGTGGTATTGGTGCTGGTGTGGTAGTGTGCTGGTGTGTAGTGGTGCTGGTGTGGTAGTGGTGCTGGTGTGGTAGTGGTGCTGGTGTGGTAGTGGTGCTTGGTGTGGTAGTGGTGCTGGTGTGGTAGTGGTGCTGGTGTGGTAGTGGTGCTGGTGTGGTAGTGGTGCTGGTGTGGTAATGGTGCTGGTGTGGTAGTGGTGCTGGTGTGGTAGTGGTGCTGGTGTGGTAGTGGTGCTGGTGTGGTAGTGGGTGCTGGTGTGGTAGTGGTGCTGGTGTGGTAGTGGTGCTGGTGTGGTAGTGGTGCTGGTGTGGTAGTGGTGCTGGTGTGGTAGTGGTGCTGGTGTGGTAGTGGTGCTGGTGTGGTAGTGGTGCTGGTGTGGTAGTGGTGCTGGTGTGGTAGTGGTGCTGGTGTGGTAGTGGTGCTGGTGTGGTAGTGGTGCTGGTGTGGTAGTGGTGCTGGTGTGGTAGTGGTGCTGGTGTGGTAGTGGTGCTGGTGTGGTAGTGGTGCTGGTGTGGTAGTGGTGCTGGTGTGGTAGTGGTGCTGGTGTGGTAGTGGTGCTGGTGTGGTAGTGGTGCTGGTGTGGTAGTGGTGCTGGTGTGGTAGTGGTGCTGGTGTGGTAGTGGTGCTGGTTGTGGTAGTGGTGCTGGTGTGGTAGTGGTGCTGGTGTGGTAGTGGTGCTGGTGTGGTAGTGGTGCTGGTGTGGTAGTGGTGCTGGTGTGGTAGTGGTGCTGGTGTGGTAGTGGTGCTGGTGTGGTAGTGGTGCTGGTGTGGTAGTGGTGCTGGTGTGGTAGTGGTGCTGGTGTGGTAGTGGTGCTGGTGTGGTAGTGGTGCTGGTGTGGTAGTGGTGCTGGTGTGGTAGTGGTGCTGGTGTGGTAGTGGTGCTGGTGTGGTAGTGGTGCTGGTGTGGTAGTGGTGCTGGTGTGGTAGTGGTGCTGGTGTGGTAGTGGTGCTGGTGTGGTAGTGGTGCTGGTGTGGTAGTGGTGCTGGTGTGGTAGTGGGTGCTGGTGTGGTAGTGGTGCTGGTGTGGTAGTGGTGCTGGTGTGGTAGTGGTGCTGGTGTGGTAGTGGTGCTGGTGTGGTAGTGGTGCTGGTGTGGTAGTGGTGCTGGTGTGGTAGTGGTGCTGGTGTGGTAGTGGTGCACCTTGTCTTGCCCGCTTGCTCCGTGCATCCACTCACACCCACCTCTCTGTTACACTAGACATTGTCGACTGCCTGTCCCACCATCCCTCCCCTCCCCCCCTCACTCCCCTCTCTCCCCTCCCTCCCCTCCCTCCCCTCCCCTCCCCTCCCCTCCACTCCCCTGCCGTCCCCTCCCCTGCCCTGCCCTCCCCTCCCCTCCCTTCCCCTGCACGGCGCGCCTGTCCCCGGGGTGCATGCGGGCATGGGAGCACCAGGGGACATGCTGGGCGGGCATGTGGACGACATGGAGGCGGACTGGACCAAGCCCATCGTCAGCATCAGGTGGGCAGGGCACCAAGGGGGCAGTATTTCACCGCATCTCGCCTGCTGCACCTTCTGAGGTTATTCCCTCTGTCACCTCTATCGCCTCTTTCATGCCCCGTTCCACGTCCATATCCCCCCCCTCCCCTCCCGTTTACTTCTAAGCGTGCTGCTTTCCCGCCCATTCCCTTCTGTCCGCATGTGCTGTGTGGCCCTGCACACCACACTCTCGGGTGCAGGGCGGTGTTCCTTCCGGGGGTGTTTAAGACGCCTCAAAAGTCTCTCAAAAGTCTTCCCGTGCCCCCCTCTCCCGTCCCGTTTCCTCCTCTCCCTTCCCGTTTCCCCCTCCTGCCCCCCCCGGCCCGTTCCCCCCTCTCCACCTGAGTGCTGTGCTGTGCATCCCTCGGGCGCACCACGGCAGTCTTGGGTGCAAGGCGGTGTTTCTGCTGGGAGGGCGCACGCGCGACGAGGCACCCATGGCGGTGGTGGTGCGCAGTGGCGATGTGCTGCTCATGGCGGGGCCCTGCCGGGAGTGCTTCCATGGTGCGTGCATGTGGGTGGGGGTGGGGGTGGGGGTGGGGGTGGGCGGAGCGGGTGGGGTTGGGTGTGATAATGTGTGTGTGTGTGTGTGTGTGGTTTTAAGTGTGTATGCGTGCATACACACGGGATAGAGGGAGGGAATTTACCTGCACCATTGGCCTGAGTTAACCTTTTGACTGTTGGGCCGTGCACGCATTTTTTTCTCTCGCTCCCCCCTTCCCCCTCCCCCCTCCCTTTCACCTTTCCCCTTCCCTCCCATCCTCCCATCTCCACTCTGCCTCCCTCCCCTTTCTCCCCCACGCCCCTTCCTATCCCCTCCAACCGTCCCCATGTCCATCTCCTGCCCTCTCCCCCCTTCCCTCCCTCCCACGAGTGCCTCGCATCTGGTATTCGGAGTCCCGAGCCTGAGGAGGCAGACACCCCTCCTCAGCTCTTTTGAGGCGCCTCAAAAGCCCCCCATATCCATCCCCCATCCTGCCCCCTCCCGCCCGCTCCCCACCAGGAGTCCCGCGCATCCATTCCAACCCCCACGAGGCAGACATCCCTTTTGAGGCGCCTGGAAAGACCCCCCTGCCCGTCTCCTCTCCCCCCCCCCCCTCCTCTCCCTCCCAGGAATCCCCCGCATCTATTCCGACCCGCATGAGGCAGACATTCCTGCTGAGCTTTTTTGAGGTCCCTCAAAAGCCCACCACATCCAACCACTGTCATCCCCTCCCTCCCTCCCAGGAATCCCGCGTATCTATTCTGACCCGCATGAGGCGGACATCCCTGCTGAGCTCCTCGCTCCGCTCTCTGCTGGGGGTCTGCTCCCTGCTCCCATGCGCGCACTGCTGCCCACTCTGCGAATCAACATCAATGTGCGCCAGGTGTACTGACATGCACACCCACAAATGGTGTGCGGTACTTTCTTGCCTTACATATAAATAGCTTTGGTTGCGGTACCATGTCGCTGCGACTCCTGGTCCAAGCCAAGTCAATATTGGGAGGTGTGAGTCACTGCAGAGGTCCATTTGAATTGAAAGACACTGGTCTGGGCTGGACTAATCAATTTGGTGTGTACTGTGTACTGTATTGATCACAATGGGGTGGGCACTGGGCAGGGCAATGATCACCCCGTTGACCAGGGGTTTTTTTATCAGTGTAATTTACTCTGTTTCTCTGAAAATCAGAGTGGTTTTTAGGGGGGCACTCTGTACCTGCTGGGTAAATTTTTTTAGAGTTACTTGTTCTCTGATCTGCCAAGGTTTTTGTGTAAGTTCACTCTGGAGCGCCAGTGTTCCTTTCTCGAATAGTGAGTTTACTCTGAACGGGGGATACATGTACCCCCCCGACCCCCCTAGGTCCCCCTTATCCCCACGATGCCGGTTTGGACCGGAGCGCAGGGGATATCAGTGTTGTTTCGCCCGTGTGTTGGCACAACCTGAGGTGCCGATTGGCCGGAATGGCATATTTCGTGCCAGCGCACTCAACTGGCCACCCAGTGGATACATCGCTGGCTTTGCGTACCCCATCAGCAATGAACAACTTCAACTTTTGGGCATGATACGTCAGCTTCCTGTGGTGCACTGAATTCGTGCGCGGTGCGCACATCCACACCTGTTGCTCGGCAGGCATACGGGGTCACCACCCAACCCCATCCTTTCTGAGCCATTATGTTTTTTCCACCCAGCACTGCTCTTCAACGTTCCAGTCTAGCGAGTGTTCCGAGGGCTTCTCCAGCCACAGACCCGCCTCCCTAACCTTTTTTTTGTCCGTCAATATCATGGATACTAGCGACGCCGAGGGAGACGCGGCTGATCCCGACGACAGGCCGACATGTATCACACCCCCTGCGACAGGGCTTCAGTTTCTCCGCGCTGTGCATGCAGATAACGCTCGCGATGAGGAGGAGCTGGCCGATGGCGGTACCGAATGGATGCGCCGTCCTGGCAAGGAAAGTGGCGGCATGGAAGATGCGTACGACGATTGGTGTCCTTCTCCGCGCCCGATGAATGACGCTGCTGAGTCCGACGGTGTTGAGGAGTGGATCGCCTCGCCGCGAAACGAGGTTGCTGCAGAGGCGGCCGAATTGGTTGCAACGCAGGTCGTCGATGCGGCCACTCCTAAGTCATCCTGTTCAGTCGCTTCGAAGAAGCGACGGTACACGCAGCAGGTTTTGCAGTGGGGAACACCGCCTCCGAAGCCCGACGCTCCACCTCCCCCTGCTGCCCCACCCCCCATTCTTCCCCTTACAGACGAGGAGAAGAAGGAGAAGGCGTACCTGAAGGCGCAGAAGAGCTACAAGTCTGATTGGCTGCCGAAGTTCGACTGGCTGATTCTGGACAAGACGCCAGAGGGTGACCCGTGCCTGCGCTGCAGTGTCTGCATGGAGCACGGGAGGGACAACGCGCGTTACGGTCGCAATGGCGCTGGCGGTCGTGATCTGCAGATCGGGTCGATGCGGTGGCACGAGAACAGCGCGAAGCACGAGGACGCCATGAAAAAGCAAGCAAACCTTCTGCAGAAGATCGTGGACCAGAAGAAGATTGAAGACTTCGCGAATGGAGATCCGGAAGGCTGTCGCGTCGCGGTACTCATGCGCGCCATGCGTTTTGTGTGCCGTACCGACACACCCATCCACATGTACCCACAGGTTGTGCGGCTTCTCGCAGAGGAGGGGGTCGCCAACATTCCGCAACAAAGCTATGGAGTGTACATCACGCAGTAAGTTGCTGTTGACTGGTTTTTATTCGATGCAACCGTCTTTGTTTAACGAGGCTAATGCGTTGTGCTATGTGAATGCGCAGGTACGGTTTCTCCGAGATGGCCAAGGCTCTCACCGCATATCTGACCAGGGAGCAATTGCGCGTCCTCCACGCCTCGCCCTTCATCGGCCTCATGTGCGACGAGAGTACCGATCGCGCCCGTGGCAAACACATGATTGTGTTTGTCACGTTCCTCAAGAACAGCGTGGTTGTAACCGAGTTCCTCGCGTTACTAACCGTGCAGCAATGTGATGCGGCATCGCTCATGGGCGCACTGCTCCAGCATCTCGAGACGGTGGGCGTCGACCTGAAGAAGATTTCCGGAATGTCCACGGACGGCGCGGCAGTGATGATCGGGGGCACGTCCGGCGTTGTCACGCGACTGCGCGTCCACGTCCCCCACCTCGTCGGCTGCCACTGCATTGCGCATCGGTACTTGTGTCGTGGCTGATAATTTTAAATGTCCGATTTTACGTTAGTCGATCGTTAAAGTAATTTAACAATCCTTTTCTGCTCACCCCACTATTGCTTGCAGCGAAGCACTTGCTGTGAAGGAGACGGCCGAAGCCGAGCTGTTCCAAGATTTTCGGATGGTAGACAAGGCCATCCGTGCAGTGGGCGAGATCGTGGGGAGATCCACGCCGTGGTACGAGCGGTTCAAAGAGCTCCAGATCGTGATCCACAGCACCAACCTCGAGCACCAGGGACTGTTCGACGTGCGTTGGCTCTCGCGTGCCGATGCGGTCAACCGGCTTGTCAAGATTCTGGGGTCGGCAATCGTGCTCTTTATGGAGTACAAGCACAAGATCGCCTCGGTTGTGAAGACCCTGAAATTCCACTTCTGTCTGTATTTCCTGGCAGACATTTTGGGGGAGTTGAACACCCTCAACCGTTTCTTCCAACGACGCAAGGTAAAACATGTTCGAAAGGATTGTTGATACACGCGTTTAGCGTTGTTTAAATTTCATTTGCCCACACACACTAACAAACATTTTTGCGCACATGTCGTTGCGTCAGGTGGAGGTGACGCAAGTCACAGAGGAGGTCGACCGTGTGGTGTCCCTCATCGAGCACCGCTACATCGACTACGATGGTGGTTTTGGGGCGGGTCTGAGCCCCTTCATGTCTCCATTCATGGCACGTGTCAAGAGAGGGGACAACATGGTGAAGGTGGACGGCGTGGACGCTAGCGGCATACCCGTCAAGCACACCTTCGAGCTCAGCGAGCTGGCGGACAAGAAGCACACGTTCGGCGGGACGCTTGCAGATTGCGTGAAGTTGGGCAAGGCCTTCGCCCGCGAGGTCGTGTACAACCTGAAGCACCGCATGCGAGATCTTCGTCGAATGGGCGGCTTGAAGCTTTTCAGGGTGGACAAGTGGCCAGCGAATCCGGACACGCGTGTGAGACGTTGTGCCACGTGGCTCCGCGAGAACTCTAAACTCTTCAACCACCAGCTGCCAGGTAAGTGTATATCTTTCGATCGTGTATGTGTGCTTTCCCTGAAATAATGCCTCTCGTCACTGTGTACCTAACATTTCCGTACATAAAAAACGTTGTGCTGCGCTTACTGTTTTGCCAGGATTCGAACTGCGGGCAGCCGAACTTGAGCTCAAAACTTTCTGCCACGTCATGAAGACGCACCACGAGGACGAGGACTTCTACCAGGCGCTGACGAACATGCTGAGGTCACGCGACTGGCGCCGAACTTACCCCAACATCATGACCCTGTGGCAGGCGTTGGCCGTCCTGCCACTCAGCTGTCAGAATGAGGAATGGATGTTGCATTGATGTTGGTTGGGGTACATATGACAAACCCTAACTTCTGTACCCCCTAAGACAAACCTCACTACAGGCTACAACATTTGACACACCCCCATAGCCTAAGTGAGGGGTGTCTAGCAAAAACAAAAAAGAGTACGGTCACAAGACCAGTCCAAAAGAAAACAAAGCTCAGGGTGGATCACAACGTCACCACACACTCTGAGCACAAGCAACAGTGGCCACAAGGCCAGTCCAAGAGATCACAAGTATATATAGTAAGTGTACAGACGAAGCAGGCAATAAACTCAAGTCTACGCATGACTAGAACCTGTGTCAACAAGGCCTAACTGCACACAACACCTCTGGTGGTCACAAGGCGGAAGCGCCTTGGTGAAGATGTCTGTAGTGTTGGCCTCGGACTCTACAAACTCGAAGCGAGCCTGTCCACGCCTCTGCAACTCTCGCAGAAGAAAGTACCTGACGTGAATGTGCTTCACTCTGCTCTCCAGTCGCGGCTCACGACAGAGGAGGATCGACGCCTTGTTGTCAGTAAACAAGGTCGGTGCAGAGCTCGGCCGCTCACCAAGGTCGGCGAGCAAGAAGGTCAACCACCGTAACTCCTGTGCCGCCATGGCACCAGCGTAAATCTCAGCCTCAGCTGTAGAGGTCGAGACAGAAGAGGAGCGCGTGGAACGCCAGGAAACAGCTCCAGAACCCAGACTGAAACAGTACCCCTGAGTAGACCTGTGAGTCTCAGCGTCGTCAGCGTAAGAGGAGTCACAGTGACCAGTGAGTACGACAGACTGCTGCTCTCCAAGAACTAGCCCCACGCCTGATGTAGTCGCTAGGTACTTCGCCACCCTCACAGCTGCCGTCCAGTGAACAGGACGGTGTCTCCCTGGCGCAACAAAGCGCGCAAGGATGCTGAGAGGGAAGGCGAGGTCCGGGCGAGTACAAGTCATCAGGTACATGAGGCAACCCACAAGCTCTGCGTAGGGACCACTAGGCTCAAACGGCTCGTCAGGAAAGGGACCAGTGAGTCTGTGGTCAACAGCTAGAGGTGTGCGCTGTACGGTGGAGTGCTGAAGCCCGAACCGCTAAAGGACCTGCTGCACCATGTGTGACTGTGAGAGTGTAATGGTGCGAGCGGCTCTGTCCCTGGTGATCTGCAGGCCAAGGTAGCGGCGCAGCTCACCAAGATCAGTGCACGTGTGTCTCTTCTGCAGTTCGGACTTCACGTCTGCCAAAGCAACCCTGTCCGAAGTGGCGAAAACGAGGTCGTCGACGTAGACCAGAACAAAGAACGGTGTGGAGCCACGACGAACGAACAGCGACGGGTCGGCAGAAGACGGCTGGAACCCAAGGTCAG